TTCATTGTTTCTATTTCAATTTTCAGATCTTGAGCTATTCCATTCATATGTTTAATTGCTTTTACATGGTTTTCTTGGCTTTCTTTAAGGGATTTATTGATTTCTTCCATTTTTTTGTTTGTCTTTTCCTCAATTTCTTTAAAGGAAATTTTCATTTGTTCTTTAAAGGCCTCTAGCATCTTCATGAAGTTATTTTTAAGGTTCCTTTTTTCTGCTTCTACATTGAGATGTTCAGGTCTTGGTGTTGTAGAAGGGCTAGGTTCTGGTGATGCCATATCGCTCTTTATGTTGTATGTATCTTTGCACTGGTGTCTGCCCATCTCTTCCTCCAGTAGGTGCAAGAGATGCCTGTGTCTGAGCGAGTTGCTATTGGTCCACTCTGTGCTTGCTGTGTCTGTGTCTCAGGGGGCCCCTTTGGGTCTAATCTTAGCTCTTGATCTAATCAAAGCTGGAAGATTCTGTATCTCAGGGAGCTGCTCTTTGCCCAAGCCAAGCTAGCTGATTCTGTGACTCTTGGTCTTACCAGGGCTCTTGGTCCAGTCAGAGCTGGTCAATTCTGTGTCTCAGGAGGCCTATCTTGGTCTAGTGAGAGCTGGCAGATTCTGTGTCTCAGAAAGCCATTCCTGGTCTAATGAGAGCTGGTGGATTCCTTGTCTCAGGAAGTTACTGGGGTCTCAGGCAGATGGGTATTGGGGTAGGGTGTGGGTCTTGTAGATTGCAGGGTCCAATGGGGGATCTTGGTGGGGTTCCTGGCTGTGGGGAGTTTTCTCTACTGGTTAGCAACTGGGGCAGAGTTGGGTGGGGGTTCCCAGGGACTGGCTGTGTTCCAGGGCTTGGGTCCCAGAGCAGGACTCTCTGGGTGGGAGAGGAGTCACTCACCTCTTGTCCCAACGGGAGCTGGTGGATTCCTTGTCTCAGAAAGTTACTGGGGTCACAGGCAGATGGATATTGGGGTAGGGCATGGGTCCTGTGGATTGCAGGGTATGATGGGGGGTTTTGGTGAGGGCATGTAGCCAAGGGGAGTTTTCCCTGCTGATGAGCAACTGGGGCATTGTTGGGTGGGGGCTCCCAGGGACTGGTTGTGTCCCAGGGCCTGGGTCCCAGAGACAGGTCTCTCTGGCTTGATTTTTCTTTTGAAGCTCTTATAATGTGAAGCCTTTTTTTTTTTTTTTTTTTTTTAAGAGTCTTGCTGTGGTTTCTTCCACTGTTAGGTAAACTTCTTCACAGTACGTTTTGTTTATGGGCCAACAAAGTCAGATCACCACTGAACCTTCACCACTTGTCTTTTAGTGTTCTGAAATAACTGCTGCAGGATGAATTTCATGTACCTCCAGTTACTAACACTTTGTTGTGTGAATACTGGCTAAAAGGATAGCTGATTGGAATTATGTTTTTAAAATATTCACACATTTCACCTCTTTTAACCATCACAACGATTATGTAATGGAGGAAAATTATCCTACTACAATTTTCATTTTACAAATAATGGAAATGAGACATAGACAACTAACTCACTACTATAACAATAAGTAAATGGTACATACCAATCATAATCTCAGACTCAATGATTGACTCAATGTTGATATGAAAGATTTGTCTGTCATATATGCTGATGAGTGAGAATCACATGATTGTATTTGGCTATGTATTGTAATGATTTCCAAAGGTAATGAAATAAATCTGAATATGGATTTTTTTTTTTTGGTAAAATGTTTGTGAAGAAAGCTTCTCTTTTAGTGGTAATGGCCCAGATCAAACTCTAATTTCAACTGAAATATGGAAGAAATCCTGTGCCTTAACTTATACTAAGAACACACATGTTAAGCTAGCCATCAATAATAAAGAAATCCTTTTGTTTCCTCCCTCTCTTCCTTTTCCCCTCTTTCCTTCCTTGTCCCTCCACTCCCTTTCTGATATCTACAGATTTTCAGACATTCTCAACATTATCCTGTATCTTTAAAAGTAGCACAGTGCTTTAAAAATTGCTTGTTTTGTGTAAAGTGATCAAGACATGTTATCTTTAAGCAGCCTCAAGTATACTGGTTCAATGCTTGCTCCAAGTGCCTTCCCCTTCCACTTGGTAGCTATTAATGGAGTAGCCAGAAAGCAATAGAGTAGCTACAGTGTGGTCTGACCCTACGTAACTTCTGCAAAGGTCATTCTGTTGTATGAGCCTTAAGAGTTTTAGAACTTGGGAGCAAGAATACAGAGTAAATGCTAGGCTTAGGCATTGTTAAATAAATTTTAGCAGCCACTTGCATGTAGTTGGAAGTTTTCCTGTGTCCTGCATGGTCCCACAGTTGCTTTGGCCCAAGTAAACACACAGAGGCTTATATTACTTACAAACTGTATGGTCTATGGCAGACCTCTTGCTATCTAGCTCATATCTTAAATTAACCCATTTCTATTAATCTATGTTTTGCCATGTGTTCTGTGGCTTTACTGGTCTGTTGGCATGTTGCTTCTCCTTTGGTGGTGGCTGGTGTCTCTCCCTGCCTTCTTCTTGTCTCTGTGGATTTTCCACGTGCCTCTAAGCTGCCTTGCCATATGCCAAACGGCTTTATTTATTAACCAGTCTGAGCAACACATATATACACTGCATACAGAAAGACATCACCCATCATTTCCCCCTTTCTTTCTATTCAAAAGGAAGATTTTAATTTCAACATAGTAAAATTATATATGACAAAATAGTTATCAAGCAAGAATTATAGTTATAATATCTAGTCTATTTGTATTTGGCAAAATTAAAGAAAATATCCTATCTATCTTATATTTGTGAGTCTAAGGTTTCATATCTACCTTATCTCTTATCATAACCAAGGAAAATCAAAATTATAACTATCTAGTCTTCAACTACATCAAAGACCTCAGAAGGATATAATATAACCTAAGTAAACAGGAAGTGCATTGTAAGCAACTTCCAAAAATCTAGAATGACAGAGACAGCTGCCTGCCTGGACAGTCATCAGAAGTCCCTCTGTAATGTTGGGGCATCCATCTTTAGCCCACAGGCCTAGAGTCTCTCAGTCATTTTTCTCTGTGTCTTGTAGAATGTCTGGCAGTTTCTTCTGCGAAGCAAGAACCTGAAGGACCATTTTACTTTGCAAAGTTCAGTGGTCACCTTCCTGTGGGTCCTGCATGTCCAGTCGATACAATATTTTGTCAAGCAGTCCATGCAAGAATAGTTTCTTGCTCAAATGGCTTTTGTTTTAATCAATCAATCAGAGAAACATATATTCACATCATACAGAAAGATATCACCCATCATTAAGAAAAGGGGAAGTGATGAGGAATGTCTTTTCTGTATGCTGTGAAAATGTGTTGCTCTGATTGGTTGATAAATAAAGCTATTTGGTCAATGGTGAAGCAGAATAAGGTTAAGCAGGACATTCCAACTAGAGAGAGAGGAAGGAGAAAGACAGAGGAGACGCTGCTACCTGCCACCATGAGAAGCAAGATGTAAAGGTACAGGTAAGCCACAAGCCATATGGCAAAGTATAGATTTATAGAAATCGGTTAACTTAAGACATAAGAACTAGATAACAAGAAGCCTGCCCTGGCCATACTTTAAAAATAATATTAGCCTGAGTATATTTATTTGGGTCTGAGCAACTGTAGGACTGGCAGGTGAGAGAGATTTGTCCTGACTGCAGGCTAGGCAGGACACAGGAAAGCTTTCAGTTATACTTGCATAAGATGTACTTACATAGGCCATTTCCCATCAAGGAATAATAGAAATGAGTATAAATTCCAAATGTGTAAATAATTCTGAACAGTTTTATTACACTTAGATTAAATGAATGTACTGAGTGGGTTAAAAATACCCTAAAATGTGATAAATTGTAAGGACATCAAGAGAAGAATCATCTACCTCTCTGCTTCCTTTATGGCTATGTCAAAAAAAAATGATTTCCAAAAGCAAGAGATAGGAGAGTACAAATGAGCTGGCCTTAACCCAACAGAAGCAAGGGATCGCCAGTGAGGGATTGCCCTCGGCCATGTATGTCTTGTTCCTGGCAAATTGCAGCCTTGTTTGCACTTTGCCCTCAATTATCATGCCATCCAGGCGCAGTTGCTGCTGTCTGGAGAGCTGTTGGCCTGGGAAACACTTGAAAGAACTATCATCTCTTGCTCAATGTGGAGTGATCGTTAAGATCACCCATGGTACTAGGAACACTTGCATTTACAATATAATGAAAGGGCAGAATACCGCCGTACGGTGATTTACTGTTACTTCTTTTTGCTCTCTGCCTAAATTAGTTCAAATTTTGCCTGTTTGCCTGTTTGTAGTAAGAACCAACTAGATTGAATCCTAGCTTGGACCATAGAATTGTTAAATTCCTTAAAAATTATGAACTATGAACTTATTAAGTGATAAACCGTATTGATGGACAATGCACCAGTCAATGCAGAATATGGCTAAGACACATATCTATTATCTAGTTTCGCTCTCACAACTAATCAGTAACACAGGTGAAGCTAATGTTTTATTTTAGAAATGAGGTAACTGAAGCCTGTGTAAAAGGGTAAGAAACTTAAGAAATCCCAAGCCTGTGACCTAACAGGAGATTTGTATTTTAAAATTTACAAGGATTCTTGGGTTAATTTTGTTTCATTTTGGTTTGGCTGAAAAAGTAACCACGCCCAAGTGATAATTAAGAAGACTGACATTAGCTGATGGATGTCTCTGCAGTTAAGAGAACCCTGCAGAAGACCTGAGTTTGTGTCCCAGCACCCACACTGGGTGGTTCACAACAGTCTATAATTCCAACTCCAGGGCATCTGCTGCCGTCTTTTGGCCTGGAGGGAAGGGGGCAGAACCCCCTCCCCCCACCACACACACACAATTTATAAAAGTTCTTTTTTAAAGGCAATAAGTTTAATGCAATCTTAACCATTTTCCCAGCTCTTAATCCTCAAATAAATATTCCTTGTAAATGTTTGCATTTTATAGGTAAAATAAAATATTAATAATTTTGATTTAATTTTAATCATAGATTGAAAAGTATGGATTCCCTTCTGACCTTGCCTTTTCATCTCGAGAAAGCATTCAGCTCTATGACACTATGCTTCAGGTCTGGAAGAGTTGGCCTCAGGCCCAGGTAAACAATCTTCATGGAATCCATGCTGTTATGATAGATTTAACTCACCATTACTGTTCAGAATCACATGGTCACCATTTCTACCACTTGCATTTGGTGGTTTAAAATGATTGGCAGACCTTTTCCTAGAGGAAATGGCCTTCTTATGCCTTCCTAGTTAAATGGGCTAGAAATGGTATTTTATGTCAACTCCTGAAAATGTCCCTTCTTTCTCCTTCTCAGACACTGTGGTATCTGGGTCTCCTTTCCCACTCTAGGTTTCTAGTCTTCAGATTCTTTTCACCTCATTTTGTTCTCTGTGTCCTGCTGGTTCCTTTCTCCAGAGACCTGTTTGCTCTGTCTTCTTGTCTTTGAAGAGTTCGTACATAGTTCTATATATTAGAAGGTATGGGGAGGTAAGAGAAGTCCACTGCCTCTAACCTAAGAGATTGTAAAACTGTCAATGAAAAGGATAATTGAGAAATATCTTTAAGTTTTCTGGCATTATTTTTTATAGAATTTTATGTTCTTCCTTTCCCAGAACCTGTGTCCAGAGAACTTTGCTCATTTTAAGAACAAAATAGTCATTAAGAAATTGGATGCTAGAAAATATGAGGAGAGCTTAAAGGAAGAATTCACGAATTGGATTAAAAACGGCAACGAGGAGCAGGTAATTTCACACATTTTAGGCAAGCTCTCTATTTTGTTTTCCTGAGTTTTATCATTCAATCAATAATACTATTTCTCTCCTTTGTGGTTTTCAAGGCTTATTTTAGATTTTAACTTGGACTTGATGTATAGTGATTCTGAGCTGAAACAAAAAATAAAGGAATTTTTTTTTTTAGATCTCTTCTTCAGTGTCTCCTAAACTTGGTAAGAGGCTATGGGTTCTTCATGGATTTGATGGCAGACAAGAGAGAATACAAGATGCATGGTTGGGATAATTGATGTTTTGGCAGCATAGAGATGAGACTCAAGGAACTGAAACACATTTTTACCTTTCTTCCTTTCTTAGTTTTGGAGTTGTATTTCTCTTTAACAAGTTATCATTTGGGAATTTCATGTGCATGTGTTTTCAGATCCATTCCCCAATCCTCCACCACAAGTCCTCCTATATCCCTTCTACCAATCCCTTCCAACTTCATGTGCTCCTTTCAAACTCACTGAGTCTGTTCATTGTTGCCTATGTATGCATGGGTGCAGGGCTGTCCGCTAGAACATGGGTAGCCTATCAGCATATGAGAAGAACACTGTCTCCTTTCCACGGAAGCCATCATTTGGCAGTAACTCCTCAGCTAGGGTTTAGGAGCCCCCCACCCCCATGCTGAAATTATTTCAGACTTGATCTTATGAGCTTGTTTGCAGGTATCCACAGCTGTTGTGAGCTCATGTGTTCCATGTCCCTGCTGTGTCCAGAGACACAGGTTTGCAGCTGTTTTGGGGGTTTTATGGAGCTAGATGCTTACACATTTCTTTTCTTTAAACTTATCATCAAAAATTGAGATTTCTGATTTTTTTTTTTTTAAGGAATAGTATACATCATATCTTTTTCATGTGATCCCGTCCCCACTCCTATACCTTTTTTTCTTTCATTTGGAAACATAATCTAGTTAAGTTACATTTTCCTTTGGTTATCTTGTCATTCAAAACCTCTTAGTCAGGTTTAAGTATGTTTTCTGCCTGCTGGATTTGTGTTGTCTCAGACAACTGCAGGTGTGTGCGCGCAGTACACCAGAAGTTTGTTATCAAGTCTGCAGTTTGCATGTGATTTTGCTGTGGCTTACCACAGTCCTGTGGTGTAGTCTCATAGGATTATTTTAAAGAATGACAAAAACAAAGATTAAACAACTATGAAAATAGTTTCTGTGCTGTGCACATTTTAATACAAACACTTTCCTTTCACTCACCTTCACAGGCCAGGATGGTGCTGCAGAAACTGAGTCCCGATTTCCATGACTACTCAGGGCGTATGCTGGACTTCTTTCCGAATCTTGTTGAGAAGCTCAGGGAAATGGAGAAGTTGCCTGCACTGTTCTTTTTGTAAGTTATTTAACATTGTGACATAATTTGTGTTAGGCTCCTTCTTTTAAGGTACAGGAAATCATATACACGTTACCACTGTGGTCTAGTACTTATTATTACTTTGGTTGTTTGTTCACTTGTCAAAATCATATGACTTATTTAAAGTCATAAAATTGTCTAGATCCACTTTTTGTTGTTCTGGTTCTGTTTGTTTGTTTGAGATAAGATCTCGAGCCCATTGAACATAGCCATCATTGTTGCTATCCCACACAAAATTTAAGTTTTTATAATATGGTACAATATATATTGGTAAAATATTTATATATTTTAAACTAATTGTAATGAGAACTGTAACCTAGAGTCAGTGATATCTTTTCAAATTTCATGTTATAGAATGTAGTAGCTTAAAATTGAATATACTAGTTTAATGGAGCCAGTTCTGATAAAATGGCACCAAAGATAATTCAGTTAGTGGATAAAAGTTTATTGATTAACCTTGTTAACTCTGTGACAAAAAGAGAATACTTACTGTAGACATTTTCAAACTACTCTTAATCCACAGGATCATCTAATAAATAAAACCATTGTATTATAAAGTTTAATACTTATGCACATGCACAGAAACATATAGTAATGAATCATAACTGGTGATAGAAATTCAAAACAATGGTGGTAGATGAGGCAAGGTCATATTTGATTAATTTTGGAGATTCTAGTAAAGCTGTTCCTTTTGCCTGTGTATGTAAAACAAGAGAAAAACTCTTTCCTGTGCCATGAAAAATTCACACAGTTATCTGCTTCCCTTCCAAGTACAGCCATGGGTATTAGAAGCAAGAGCCATTCTCTGTGTCTGAGATATGTATGCAAGCTTAACCGCAGTATTGAAATCACAGAACAATTTTTTATCATTTATATATTTGTGTGCATAGGGATTTGAGCATATGTTATTTTCTTCTATCCTGTTGAAAGAATTAAATTGGTCAATAGGGGAAAAGCATACTCACTGATTTAGAATAAATAGTACGTGGCATGGGAGCTTCATAAGAAAATGGCGACCCAATGACATGAGGAATGGACACTTCAGCCTGAACTGAACAAAGCTTTAGTGGCTTACCACATAGTGATAGCCCCAACATTCTGTACCATGATGTCTGGAAAAGATGTGTGGGATGTGTTTAGAGGTTTGGCAGTTGGAAATGTTGATCAGTGCTTAAGGGCATACATTTCAAGGCCAGGGCTCAGCGTAAATCCTACTTCTCTCCCCTTTAGCTGGGTCACAGATTGCCAGGCACTCAGTGACAGTAATCATACAGAGAATTTTGAAGAAAACAAAATCCAAAGATCATGGGTGTGTAGTGCAGTGGTATAAAATATTAATTGCATATGTGCCATTTTTAGGTCATTTTCATTCTGTGTAATTCTGTGCCAGAGAAATTTGGGAGGCACAGTTATTTTCAAGCAATGTAGATTTTTGAAAAGAGGTAAATTATGATGGAAATGACTGGAACTTTCATGACATAAAAATAATATCACAACCGTACCATCAGAAACGTGGATTTGAAGACCCACTCTGTTACATACAAGCGGGTTATACTCATGGGTAGGCCCCTTAATCTCTTTATATCTCCATTTTCTCTTCTGTAGTATGGGAATGATAGAATTGGAATAATTTTTGATATAATAGTTATTGTATCAAATGAGTTATTACATTCAAAGCACTTAGAATTGCCCCTGACAACAGAAACTATAATATGTCTAGTCCTCTTCTTATTTTGTTACCTGATGTGGCCATAAGAATTGACAGTTGTTTCTTAGTCCTTACTTCACCAGGGTAGCTCCCTAATTCCGTGAATTTTTTTTCTAATTAATTTTTGTGACACTGACTAGGAATTGATCCCAGGGCCTCACACACTAGAAAATCATTCTGCCACTGAGCAATATCTCAGACATGTTTATTTTCTTTTTTTTTCTGATAGGATCTCACCAAGTTACCCAGGCTTGTTTTGAACCCTTTCTGTATATTAGGCTAACCTTCAACTTGTGATTCTCCTGCCTCAACCTTCCTACTAGCTGGGATTGTAGACAGGCCTGTAACAACCGGCCCAACTTCACAATTTTTAAAATAATGGGTTTGTGAAGTTTTACTTTTTAAAAGAAAATATTTTGTCTCACATTTTATGCTTAAACTTTATTACAAAATTCCAACTTGTTATTTGCTATAATGTAATATAGTGATTTTGCGAAGTAGCTACTTCAGACACAGCATTTGGCTCCTAGCCATTGTGATGAAATGAAATGATTTTTTTTCTGCTTGTCATCAGAAACTCTGCATTACAAACATTTGAAATTCATGTGATGCAAACTAGGTGTGTTTGCTTTTACAGTTTCTGGAGAGAGAATTCGACCAGCAATGTTTATTGCTCAGATATGAGAATTCTAAATGGTTAAGATGCAGACTAGGTCCACAGGGTGAGCCCCAGGGTTCCAAGAAGTCTGCACCAAGAAGTAGTTTTAGGTATTTACATTTTCAAAGGTATAAAGGCCATGTATAGGAGACCTTCTGGGCTCTAAAACCTATGACCTCCAGGACTTCCTCCCTTCTGGAAATAAATGATCATGTGACAGTGAGAAGTTATGCCTCTTTCCATTTTGCCAAAAAAACAATTTTTTGGTTGGCTAAGAACCTTTCTCATCTTTCAGGAAGATGTGTGGAAGGTGGGGTGATTTTCTCTTTTTTCTGTTTATAAATCATTACTTCATTGTGCCTGGGCATGTCTGTCTTGTGGAGAGTTTCCATGAGCTCATACTGCTGTGTCAGAGGAATATGATATTGGGGAAACTTGTTCCACTTTATGGTTTCAAATTGGGAGTTATATGGACCTAGAGCACCCAGAATTCAGAATAAAATTCACAAAGGTGGGCTTCAAAAACCCAGGAGGTATATGTCACTGCTTTCTACTGGTGTGTGCTTGGACAGTTTCTGCTAGCTAGTAGTGCTGTTTTGGAAGGTTTTGGAAAGTTATGAGATGCTACCTTACCCATGGACCTGGTCTGAGAAGTTGTCATTTATACTTCTTAGATCAGAGCTACGAATTAAACAACAGCCTGCACACTAAATTTGTGCAGAAATGTAAGCCTTCCTGGATACCTTAATTACTTTTCTATTGCTGTAAAATTATGGCCAAGACAACTTGTAGAGGAAGGAATTTACTGGAGTCCACAGTTCTAGAGAGTCCATTACCATTATGGCAGGTGGATGTGACAGCAGGCAGGTAGGCATGGTGCTGGAGATTATATCATTATCAGAAAATATGGTTCAGAGAGAGACAGAGAGAGAGAGAGAGAGAGAGAGAGAGAGAGAGAGAGAGAGAGA